ACACACACACACACACACACACACAGCCACACACTAGAACACATCCACACACTCACACACAGACGCAAACACACAGATACAGACACACATACACATAAAGACGTACACACACAGACACACACAGACACAATCACTCTGACTCACACAAACAGAGCTCCCTGCACTTTCACCTCTTTAACCCAAACCCTATTTGAGTTTAAAAAATCAAAGTGAAACTAACAAGTTTTTGAATACATAAGAATTAAAATTTCGGAAGAACGCTTTTTTAAAATGGTTACGCTGACAAAAAAAAACTCTTCCGGAGGAAAAGGCGACTTTAGAATGAGAGGCGAGAGGTCATAACTTTTTTTTTTAACGAAAACTCCGCAATGAACGAACCCGAACAGCTGATGAACAGCAGTCGATCTGCGCACGCAAGGAGGTGCTGTTCCTATTCTTCTTCTGTAGAAACGAAAGAGAGCTTCAAAACAAACTGCAGCGCCATCTGAAGCAAAGAGCGGACTTCCGGCGGACACTATTTTGGCTAAGTGGACCATCTTGTTATGTACTATCTTTGACTCTGACTGTCAGAGAACGTAGTATAAGAACGTATAGGGTAGGACTAAACGCTTATCGCCGCACGTGATCATGATAGTGACTAGGATGTTGGAACCACTGGGAAAAAAAGCATAGAGCCACTGGAAGAAATCACATCAGTGGCTGTACTGAAAGTAATTGAGTTTGGGCTCGATCCCTACGATTCCTAGCTTTCAATAATCTGGAATCTACGGTTACTGAAAAAAAAACCCCCAGGAATCGCCCACCTCAAGCAGGGACTAGGACTGGGCAATGAGTCGCTTTAGCAAGATCCAGATTATATGTTAGTGAACCTCTTCGGCAATTAAATGTGTTATGAACCGCTTCGGCAAATGGGTAAGAACCACTTCTATAAACGGGTTAGAACCACTTCAACAAATGGATGCACCCACTTCGACAAAAGGGTTAAGAAAGAGAGTTGAAGAGACTGAATTCGGATAATGGTATTTTGTTCGACTGTATGACATGAATACATCATACACATCTCATGCATAGCAGTTTGATAATATTAAAGAGAAATGTAAAGAAGAAGACACACCCACATACAAAATATATTATAATGTATTGACATAACACAAACACACACACACACACACACACACACACACACATACATACACACACACACACACACACACACACACACT